GGTAATTGCTGTGACACATACCTTCGGGTATTGTGGGTCCTATTGGTGCTTTACTATTTTAATCTACATTTATGGTTATCAGACACGTAATGGAACCAATGGAGCCAAGTTTGTCCAACGAGCTCCATACTCTGAATTTATCCATTCCACACTCCATGAAGTAAAGAACTTGTTTGGTACTATGAGAATGCCCGCTGAATCTGTAAGTACCATTGTTGGAATCAGTCAAGTCGGATTAGTAAGACCATCGAGGATCATAAACATTAAATATGCTTACTTTATATTGTTAGTGTCTCGAATATATTGAAGATCGCCTGAGGATATTGTATTTGAAAGCTCTGGTGATCAATAACGTAGTAGGAAAAAGTACTCCGCCGTCAACGCCGCCAACAACGATATTTCAGCAAAATTCGACGGTCAAGATGCAGATTGCCAAGGTTGCAGCGGCGGTAGGATTGCATGAATCTGATACGGACCTGATTTATGGAATCATGTCAACGTTTTGAATGCGGTTTGATGGTTTATTATTTTATTCCTTTTTTTTTTTTTTTGGTGACATTACCAGAAGAGTGATAAGGCTTCCTTTTTTAATTTAAGCTCTAAGTTTACTTATTCGTCCGATCCAGCGTACTGTATTGCTTCTGTATAATTCACTTTAGTTTTGTAGAAACTCCAAGTCATTTTGTACTTGTATGGTAGTTTAGCCCTCGTTATGTCTTTATATATTTAAAGTTCGATTATTTATTAGGTTTATTGAAATTGACAATAAACGTAATTATTATTGGTATGAATGACCGTTTTTGGTATAAACTACAAGTCGCCTTCATGCAATGCCGATAGCTCCCATATTAGAATCGAGATTTTGACAATTCGTGTTTCCAGTCAAGCATTTTGAGCCAATGATTTCATCTCTGATGTAAGAACACTATACATGAGGCAGGTGACCAATTTTTAACAAAGGGCTATTTGTCATATTGTTAGCAGCCCGCGTTAGCCTGATTATGAGATGAAAAGACTGTTTTTTCGTTTCGTAGCGAATTCTTCGTTTGAATTATCGGTAGTAAGCCGACTAATCGTAGCATAGTGATACGACAGATTAAACCAGATAATATTTGCGAGCCTTGTTCCCGAAATTTTCATGGTCATGATAATGAACCACGTTTTAAGCACTAATAACTGAAATAGTCTGGGCCTTTTCGTATTGTTTTTCCCTTCATAATTGTCAATGGATTTTCTGAATTTATTATTCGTGTAAGGGATCGTTTAGTCAATGTCCTATCAAAAGTGAAGAAGCCAAAATGTAACATAATACACACAATGGTTTATTCGCGTGAATACACGTTATTGATCAAACGCTCTACAATACACTCAACTGATTTTTGATTTAGAAAATGCATAAATGAATTTTGAATTAATAAAATTGGTGCCATTTGACTGAATCTTTCCTATTTGCGAGAATGTCCAACCACTTTTTCGAAATGACCTATAATAAAACTTTAATTGGTGAACTCCTGTAATCTTCCAATTTTACTGTTTAGTCGACCTCCTATAATTGTATTCTTCACATTAGAATTAGATGCTCTACAACGCTTAAATGCTCGTATAATGTCAAAGGACTGAATAACAGATCGGTTATCCGAGAAGGCTCGTAAATGGAGGTGACCGACATACCTCACCGCTACCTCACAAACTTACAATCTTCTCCTTGAAGCTGTTCTTGATACATTGTCTATTATTAGTCACCATTATATCAGAAGTAAGTGTATGACTATAAAAAAGTCCGCCGCTTGCTCATTAGTAATGCCCATTAAATTCATAAAAAGTTAAGGCTTAAGACATTAACTCTCGTGTTGATGAAAAAATGGGGTTAAGTGGGCCGAAAAACATGTATACAGTTTTCATCGATTAATTCATTCACGTATGAAATTGCTATCATAATTTTATTTTATTAATTCGGACGTTGCCAATTGAATATTTACTTGCAGACATGTAGGGGCTATATTCACGTTGATTGGTAACGGGTGATTCTTTCGTTTTGTGGTTTGTATTTGATTGGCAACCTCTTTTTTTTTTTTTTTCGTTCAAAAAAGGGGCGCTTACAATGACGAGTAATGCCGAGAGAATCGGATGCGGGCTAAAGACTCTTGGCAGATCGCGGAAATCGTGAAAGTCGTGAAAATCATGAAAATCTTCAAACCAGATTGCATATCATGAAACTTATCAGATTTTCGAATCTGATTCTGGATGACAATCATTGAAAGGAACAACAGGTGGTACTTTTTACTAATCGTTGTACTGGAATAGGGATCTATTTATATTTACGTGACATTCCGATCCAAATTGGGAAATTAAAGCAGCGGCAAGGGGCAGCCGTTTTTCTAAAAAGAATAATTTGTCTTTAGTATGAAAACTTGTCTGTAACGATATAGTTGCAGGTATCGTTTGATAAAGAATGCTAATTCAATCATAAATAACGTATTATTGTTCTCTGCTCAATGGATTACCCAAAGGTTGGAATACATCACTGAAAATGTATATAAGTTCCTACCAGGCGATGAGATGCCCCCCCCTTTGTTGTCCCTGCTAGGTAATGTTTGACCAAAAATTGATATTTTGGAATGTTACGCCAAAGAAACTTTTTGGTAATTTCTGCGGAGGGTTACCGCCACATTGCTGCGTTTGCACAATCAATTACAAATCATCTCTGAAGGATGGTAGGAGGGCGATCATACCAAAAGAACAAAAGCAAAAGCAAAAGCAAAACCCAAAGAAAAAAGAAATAAAGAAAACGAATGAAAGAAAGTCATTGTCGTTGCTGTGATGGATGAAAGCTGTAACTCTTACATGGCCTTTTAAAGCCCACAATATACGTTGACTTACTTGCCATCATTCCGTGTTACATTATATATTTTTAGATAGTACCCTTTTCTTTGCATTTGTCACACTCTCCGTTTTATCGACTTACAATTATATATGTACATATTTAGACAAAACTGAATGAAAGCAATAAACAATCAGACAACAATGCTGAACATTTTAGGATAAATACACTGCGTTGACACAGCACGCCAACCTCAATTCACAACATTCGATCAAAAAAAAAAAAATCAAAAATGCGTTCGCCGATATTATATTTCACTCTTACTTTTCTCTTTGCCTCTGCGATGTTCTCTAACGCAGCCTATAACATAACGACACCAGGAACTGGCGTTATTTGGCATGCATTCGACGCCGTCCAAGTATTATGGACTGGCACTGATGAACCGAATGTCGACGTAAGATTGGTTTCTGGTCCAGCAGAAAATCTAACGCAGTTTACAGTCCTCTGTACCGATGTGCCCTCAAGTGTTGGACTGTGCAATTATACCGTGGATGAGAATATTCCAAGTGGAATTAACTATGCCGTTACTGTTGGAAAACTTCCTGAAAATTATGCCTTTTCGAGTTATTGTATGTATTAATTATACAATGAGTGTGTATTTAGCTGTTTATAGAAATACCAAACCATTTAAAGTTAAAATCATGGTCCGTGTCGTGTTATAATTAGAGTTATAATCTTAAATACTAACACAATATTTTTTTAGTCTCCATCCAAACGAAAGATCCACTTCCAGCAAACACTGGATGTCCCAACTTTGTAAGAACAAATCAATTTTATTAGAAATTGCTTCATACTATTCTACCATAATTACGTCTAGCTCACATACGTTCTTCTTCCTTCAGGGTGGCTACAATTGCACTCAAACTTTCCCGTGTTGCAGTGCATCTGGATACTGTGGTGCCACCGAAGGCCATTGCGGTACAGGGTGTGTTCCTCAGTTCAGCTTTAATGGCATTTGTGGTATACCGACACCGCCCGCACCTCCCACTACCAAGTAAGGTGTCATTGAAAATCTGGCTGATGTCAACCTTTGAAAAGGTACTGCTATGTAAAAAGAGTTAGTCAGTGGAAATTCGTAACGAAATATCGTATATACAATTCTATTTTAGAATATATAAATAAGATTACACATATTATTAATATTAAATGGTTAATTATATCCGAGTCCAGTGTATGAACGGTTAAAATATTTAAAACATTGTGGATTGATCATTGTCTCATAATTCCGTAATTTCCCATGTTCAAACAAGAAACCATTAATCAATGTGCCTTGTAATCGTTGACCGTGAAAACACGCGGGTTCGGTTTATTTCTACGACAATCATTTCCCGAAAATTATTTTGACACCAATTATTTATAAACTGTATAATTAACTCAAATGTCAAACTGTAATGTCTCTGTGAAAGCTCGATCTGTCAAAACGCCTAACTACGTGAAAGTTTTGCGTGTGGACCCTCTAACTCGAGATTGTATAAGTCTAATTAAAAATGGGGATAATAATCAAATGCACATGCTTTCATGCAACAAATATAAAGGTAGACGAGAATTCGTTATCTCATTGTCGAGAACCTTTTTTTTTTGTAAAACAAATAAGCCGTGAAAACCAACGATACTTTTATTTTTGCTTCTTTGGAAAATGCGATGAAAGTAGAAGCATTGTCTATCAGCACAATTAGACGCTGGATTGTTACATTCAAAGACGTGAAAGAGAAAATTAAAGTTCGCGAAGCAGTGACGCCAGAAAATTGCCAAGGTCGAGGATTTTGTTAGCAATAACTCGCACATTTCTACTAAAGTATTTCTCGTGAAAAAATTACCTACATTTGCACGAGCTGAAAGGGAAGAAAACCGTTCGTGACGTCATGCTTTATCACGACAATACAAGACAACGATCGTAACAGAGTACTTCATAGCGAACAAGTGGAACTTCTTCCCCGCCTGCCATACAGCCCAGACCTTGTCTCTTGTAATTTTTTCTTATTTCCTCGAATCAAAAAAAGAACTGAAGGGAAACACATTTGGTAAGGTCGAAAATTTGGCAAGCGCAGTTCAGGCAGTTGTTGAGGGTATCCGAAAGAGGACTTTGCGAACTCTTCCAGAATAGGCAGAATCGTCTAGAACGCTGTATAGTGTTTAATGGAGAGTGCTTTGAAGGAATGAAATAATTGTATCGATAATTATTATGAAATTTCTGGAAATCAAAAGTCTACGCGCAAAACTTTCAGCACCCTCACGTACTGTAGATTGTTGGTTAATATTCAAGCGACGGCTGGATTAGAACAAAGTGCAGAACCATAAATGTTTGATCTAATTCGGTTTGGGATTGCAAAAGTGCGAGCTTTCTTTTCAAGCAGTTAAGCTTAATATTGCACAGATTTTTAAACCAAAAAATTAAACAAGTAGCTAATATGTGATATTATAAATGGCCACAGCCAAGGTAATTAATTTAAACATATAAATTTGTTGCAATTGTGATTTTTGTAAAAGACATGGTACACAGGCAAACTCGATAAGTCGGTCTCTCGATGATTCAATTTTGGCCTAAGAAGGCCCAAGCCTTTTTCTCAGTTTTAATATTTAAAATCTCTCGATAAGTCGGTTCTCTCGATAAGTCGGTCCATCATACATGACCGAC